AGCACTTGGGCACTGAGCATGCAGTGATGGGAAGGTTACTTTTAAAATGTATTCCACTAGCCCAAACCAGGATCTTTTCCTAAAATGAATCAAGTGGTTTTAGTGCTTGAAGCAAACAAAGAGCTAGTGAATACAGAGCTAAATGAACCGCCCTATACAAAGTTTACTAAAACCGTCATTGTCTTTTACAGCTATGTGCAGCTTAATAGTATCAGTTTGGTTCAGTAAAAAAATATTAGCCTGTATGTGAAGATGATTAGACTTTTATTCAAACACAAACTAAGTCTATGCGTTTGCAACAGAAGTTTCAAATGTGAAACGAGCCACTTGGTTTTGAGGCTGCAGAATTAGGTTAAAAATGCAACAATCATATCAGCCTGTGTGGTTTTCCTGAGCTACCGTTACGCAGTTTACATTGGGGTCGAATACTTTATTATCTGACCTGAATTCAGGTGTCAGGAAATCCACGTTGATACACTGCAAGTACGTCTTTTTCCGCGAGCTTTGCTTTTTAATGGTTTCTGATTTATTATTGTTCTCATCTGTTATTCTTTCCAACCCTATTTTGTGAACCCAGTTATTGAGAACTTCAGCTTTGTTTCTTCTTTGCTTTTTAATGGTTTCTGATTTACTCGTGTTCTTATCTTCTGCGGAGCTCCTTGTTAAGAAGGCTGCTATGTTAGTAAAGATTATTGTTCTTATTGTAATTATTTGCTAAACCTCACCATATCACACTATAGCGGACACAGCTGTGTTAGACACTGAAGAAAAAAACATACTAAAATCTTGCGATAGAACCACATCTTCTACAGTGCTTTTTTTCCCCACCTTAATGTTTAAATTAAATGCAACTAATAATAATCAATTACCAAGTGGAAAGTGTGCCTTTTAAGTTTACATGGTAGTTACTGGGAAATAAAAGATGATTAATTTATGAATATGAGTAGTGGTCCACATATGGCAAAAATAACTGGAAACATCAATAGATAGACAAATAATATATCAGCAAATGTTCTGTTCTATTCTGTTCACTGTACATTTGCTCTGTGCATATGCTTATTTTTTGTCATTTCATCTTCTATCATTTTGTTGCCCAAGTGATGTATACTGTTTAACAGTTCTACTGCCATATAATGTTTACATGTCTGATTATCTTTATAATAACATGAAAACTATGCAATAAAGAATAAGTTATATAACTTGCCTTCAACTTTGCCATTTTCTTTAACATCCAGGGTGAAAACAATGTTTTTCTCTTGGACTCCATTTGAATTAAAGACCTCAATGCTGTATTGACCTGAATCATTCCTCTTCACGTTTGTGATCTTGAGTGTCCCGTTCATAAACTGTAGTCTGTTGTTAAATTCCTTGTCTATCGTTATTTTTTCTTTCTTTTGATTGAACACAGTTATGTTCACTCTGGGAAGCACCTTCAAACACTTCACATCATGGCCACTAGCATTAGCCATCACATCACATTGGATATACACAGTTCCTTTAAGAAGAGGAGAGCATGGGCATCTGTTTGCATTGAGATCACATGTAGTTTCATCAACTGGAAAGAAAGCTGAAAAAGATGCATTCAAAAGAACATGAGCTTATATGAATCACACTACAAATGTGAATGTTTGGTGTTTTTTATGAAGACAATCTTACCATGAGTTCCTCCTGCTAATAACACAACAATAAAAAACTGTTCCATCCTCTTCATATATCAACACTGTGGATTTAATCTTAAAAAAAAATAAAGATAATAGAAAAATATTAACAAATGCTGAACCTCCTGTGAACCTCAGGCAAACTGACAACAAACAGTAGATGATACAGACAGGGTGTTTTCACAAGAGCAGGAAATAAAGTGACTCACTTCCACTTGCCCACACAAATAGAAGTGACATAGAGAGAAGTGAGGCAGGCTTTTGCTTGTGTGCTGTAATGAACTGATCTTAAGAAATATCCTCAAATGTTAATGATTCTTTTTCCCTCAACTGGTATAATTTGGGGGAATTACCTATGCAATCTATAGGCAATCTAGGCAATACTCTTTACTGGGGTAAAACTTTCAAGTGTCAATAAAGCATTCACATATGGTCTTAATATATATATTTTAAGAAAAAAAAACAGAAAGCAATTCAAAATAGACCAGAGGTTTCTGTGGGGAGAGCTTTGTTGTTTCATGGTCTTTACAGTGTGTGCAGGAGAGACGTCTTTTTATGTTTGCAGGTTTGCGTAAGTTTGCTTTTTGAAAGAAAGAGAACTAAACAATAAAGAAAGAGTGTAAAGTGTAAATACTGAATGGATGCAAATCAATGCCACAACATGAAACTGTGAAACAATGTCCTCTAGACAAAAAAAAAATAAAAAAATACCCATCAAAGCAAACAGACTCAAAAGTAATAGAACTCACTTACAGTATTTGAATAAAGAAAGCAAATGAAAACAATGCAAATTTAAATCTCTCTCTGTAAACGGCTCGTAATGTGTTTAGAATGAATGTGTAATAACACAAGTTTTCAGTAGTAAATAGCAGAATGTCACATGATTACTCTCAGTAAGCACGAGGAGTGATGGCGAACATGGATAGAAGAAGACTCATGATCAAGAAACATAGGATGTACATGATATACTTATGTTGCAATGGATGCACACATCAGCAAAGCCTAAGTAAGCAACATATTCAATTCAATTCAATTCAATTTATTTATATAGCACCAAATCACAACAAAAGTCGCCTCAAGGCGCTTCATAGATACAGAGAAACCCCCAACAACCATATGACCCCCTATGAGCAAGCACTTTGGCGACAGTGGGAAGGAAAAACTCCCTTTTAACAGGAAGAAACCTCTGGCAGAACCAGGCTCAGGGAGGGGCGGCCATCTGCTGCGACCGGTTGGGGTGAGAGAAGGAAGACAGGATAAGAGACATGCTGTGGAAGAGAGACAGAGGTTAATAACAGATATGATTCAATGCAGAGAGGTCATATATAAGCACTCTACTGGAAATGTGAAAAATCATCTATGAGAAAAGCAAACCCTGCATAAGTAGACTCTGCATTATAGAACAAAGCTGGAACCTTCAACTCTGAGCGGGTTGCAATGAAACTGTCCGAATGTTATGGCAGGACTATTGTTTTACATACTTCCTCTTACTCTGCCCTAAAAATGGAAGTGAGAACTATGTTTATGCATACGCGTCGACAAAACGTCCTGTTTTCCCAAATAAGAAGTTGAAAATATATTGAGCATAGAAGATATAGAATTGAGATATGAGATATACAATTTATACATTTCATACTCTTCAGTTTGAAAAAATGTAAACAGAATAGTTAAGGACACTCCCAATAAAGGAAATTAAGTTTGGTATATGTCATTACAATTGATGTCATGCTGACACAACCGCAGAGAAAAGACTGGAGGAACAGAAAGGAATCACAAAAGGGAACTACTGAACCCAAAATAATCCAAAACTCAGCACGAAACTAAAGAAACCAAAAACAAAGAAACCCAAAAAGTATTGGTGAATATGAATGAACAGAAGACCATAACCAACACAGAGTTAGAACAAATCCCTCATCAAAAACCACAAGAGATCATAAACACGCAAAAACTCAAAGCATGGCGTTCTGAACTCAAGTGTTTAGTTTCCTGACTGTATACCAAATCCCATGTCATTTCTGCAGGAAGCCAGTGCGTGCATAGTTATACAAAGGTTTGATATTGTACAAGATCTCCAGCCTGGGTGATTCTTTTCCTTCACTGATGGCTTCCAACACATTATCCCCATCAAGCCTCTCAGTGAGGGACTCATCACAACTTGATAATCCCATTAGTGTGGGGTACCAGTCAGTAATGTGCACTGCTTTGCTCACCCTCCCTTTTGATCAGGCAGTTGGGCTAGAAAGGTCAGATCATGGATGGATTGTCAGATGAGTGTTGGAGTCCACTGTGCATTTTGTCATGTTTGTTTGGATTAAAGGCAGTGTATGGGGGAACTCTGCAGCACTGCAGACTGACACACAGGAGCTTTGTTAGAAGGGAATGAAGCGATTAAATGGCGTCCGAAAGGTCGATGTAATTAATTTTAAAAAGCCAGTGGGTGGTTAAGAGTCTTAATTGAGTTGGGAGTGAATGGAGCATTGGAGGTAGTCTAAGGTCACCTAGATTAGCAAGGTTTCTGTGGAATTACAAAGGAAGTAACTAAGAGAACTGAGAAAAGCTGGGTTAGCCCGAAACAGGCATTTGCAGGCAAGGTAACAGAAATGACTTAATGTTCCCTATTATGGCAACTATTGAGAGAAATATGTCTCAAACCTGAATGAATACTAATCACTACCCAGAATGTATTAAGTTCAAGTACTTTAAGCAGATCTGCCCCTGGTATTTATTCAGGTTTGGATGTATGCATTTGTAAAATATTTTTACATGTGGCCAAATTGCTTCAGATTTGTATGTGGATTGAAGCACGCACATGTGAGTCCTTAAAACTTACACATGAATCATTGTTCACATTTGTAAAGCCTAGTTTACGCTTGTGGGTCATATCGTACACATTTACAATGCTTATGAGACATATTTCTCTTAACAGACAATGATCTATGATGAGAACTGCTGCAAGCTTCAATCTGAAATACTCCACAGCTGATTACAATATGCAAGGCAGGTGTGGAAAGCGCTGCTTGTGTGAGACAACACAGGAAGTCTGCACTTGTTACCAGACATGTTTAATTTCCTCGCTGATGTCAGCTTTAACTGACACCTTATAGTTTCTATTTGTTGTTGCGCCATCATCGTTACTGGAACAACAATTTATACCCCCGCACAAGGCCAAGGCATCCTCTCCCTTTCTGTTGTGTAAGTGTGTAGCAATTTCACCTAAAAACACTCAACTTTCTTACCTGTTAACCCTTCACACCGTGGGGTGCTTGTATCCTTCTAATGAGGAGTGTATTAACTCTATTATGAGTATAAATTGCAATTAATATAAAAAAGAAACATAATCAAACTTATTTCTAACAGATCCCTCCTTTCGCAATGTCAGTTGTGAATCCCAATCATGCTTATCGTTTAACTCATCCCTCCAGGATTCCCAGACAGGTGTGATACTCAGCCCGAGGCCTTTCTCTCCTTAACTTGTACTGTGTCTTCCTTTCAGACAGAAGAGTTACCCTAAGAAGTTCAAAAATGTTGTTTAAGCATACTCAATAATTAAATCACTCACTGGTCCCTAAATGATGTCTCTACTGTTCCGTGGATCCTACCCACTCTTCTTCATCTGAATCTCCACCCTTTGATTATTACTGAGTCTTTTTCTCTCTTAAGCCTGTACTGCCTCTCCCTTTCAGACAGGAGAAATCTGTCTGATATAACAGCATCAATAACGTTGAGATATTTAAAACATCCTAAAGGTATTTACGATGCAGTTTTGAAAGAAGGTTTAATCTGGTGGTCATTTGTGAAATGACCACAAAATTCTCTTTAAGAGTTTCAATGTGTCAGAAATCAGTAGATATAACAAAGGAACTTACAGCTGTAGTTGTTATATTTACAAGGGAAATGAGGATGATGCTCAAGTTTCTCAGGTGTCAGGAACTGGCATCACTGTATGAAGCAGTCTAGCTGCTATACAGAAGTGCAGGAGTCCAAAAGAATTTGTCAGTCAAGTAGCTGTGAAATTTGTATACTGAATCACTGCTGATAGTGGAGCCTGTCGCACAACATATTTGGGCATCCACTGTCAGCAATATGATCTTATGTCCAAAACTGTCTTTGTGATTTTGGAATGGACTGAATCGCTGCAGTCCTTTTTAGACAGAGGGACTTACCATCTAATGTGATCACATGACCCAAATAGGTTAATTACTCTGAATCCCACTGTAATTTGGAGAGGCTCACTTTGTGACTGTTCTCAGTGAGGTGTTTTACAGCACTTTAGCAGGCCTGCTTATAAGGAGAACAGATTAATGAATGATTTACATATGCAAAAATGTCTACCCCTCTGGAAGGATGAAACCTGACAGGTTTTCTGTAGGCGCCCTGGTTTAGGACATCTCATGTACATCCTGTTGAAGGACAGGAGACCTGCCAATAAAAGTTGGATTTTTTTCCACCTGGTTAGGGATCATCAGATCACAGGTCAGGTACAGGCTAAGCAGGCTCATGATTGAGAAACTGATCAGAGCTGTAATGCCATGGTTCCTGTGACGCTTTAAACTACTTAAACTTGCTTGTATTTAGTATACTGTCTCTAAATCAGTGTGCAGTGAGACTCAGAGTGGTAAATCCCCTTATAAGATGTTGCAAATGGCCCCTTATGCACTTAATTGGCAGGATAAGGAACCTAAAAA